TAGTGGAACAGATTTCCCAGGGAGACTACAGAGCTTCCATCCCTGGAGTTATTCAAAACTCAACTGGACATGGCCCTCAGCAATTAGATCTGGTAGGATCTGCTTTCAGCAGGAGGTTGGATCAGATGACTTGCAGAGGTCCCTGCCAATCTAAATCATTCTCTGATCAACCAGCAAGTCTTTAGAAATACCTTAACTGCCACAGATGCCAGGAACAAAGCATATTAGCACAAAGGCTGTGCCCTTATCCACAGACTCAGCACCTGGAAACCTGGCAACCATTTATCTTGCTAATAGCACATTTAGTTCTTTCTTCCATTTCTGCACAAGTTCAAAAAGGAGTATTAGGAATTATTACCCCAAAACAGAATACGAAATAGACAGATAAACTGTGAGCCAAAACCAATGGAGGTGTTTCTAAGTTCCACCACCTAGCCTGCACATCTGCCCTTTGGTTAGAATTGCCAGAGAAGTAGTAAAAAGTTTTAATAAGAGAAGCAGAAGACCAGAATAGAGAAAATAGTGGTTTTTCCTCCTCAATGTTATTCCACCATTCAGGATTTCTAGCTACTGATGTCAAAGACAAGCTGCATCTTCCCTAATTGCTGTTCTGTGACTAGTTCTTATAAAACTACAAAGGTCATCATGTCCAAGCTAGCTAAGTTAGACTGCAACTGACTATATTATTGAGAGCTCTAAGGTACTACACCCAATCTGGTAAAAGTTCTCTACTGCAGTCATCCAGAAAGGAATAACCCAGAGATAAGAGATCATTTTCTGAGATCAGTTATGCTGTCCAATGTGATTTCAGTTATGATGCGGATAGAAAATGGGAAAAGCAAAGAAAAAAAATTATCTGGGAATACTCATATTGGCTTTGCAGTGAAATAAGATCAGTAAATGCTCTTTCTTGGTAACCCCTCCCTTCCTACTTTGTCTCATTGTCCTCTTCTCTGGACCCTTTCTGTGATGTAAACTTGAACCTAAATAGGTTCTGAATAGCTGTCAACACGACATAGACTATTTAAGTCCCATTTATCAGTACTGTTATCTACAACAATGAAAAAGAATGTATTGGTGTCTAAGATTCCTGCTTTCAGTTAGCTTCTTCAGTCTGTAACTGCAGCACACATGGATATTAGTAACTTCCAGTGAAGTTTCAGAATCACAGGCCACCTTCACTGAGTAATTCAAAACCAGCAACTTCAGTTTGTATCTTTTCATTTCAGGTTCCACAAAAGGAGCACCAGGTGAAGTATTATCAGAAAATTGGTCTTTCTGGAGAAGCAGCACCTTTTTCCTGCTTCCATCAAATACTTGATACTATCACATATAAGTATCATTTAAACAAGATTTTGAAATTTGAGGCATCAAAAATGTTCTCTACCATTTTACCTTGCCATCCTATCCTTTCGGTTTTGCTTCAAAACATCCACTCAACTAAATAGGAAAAATGAAAATCAGAAAAAAATTTATTCTCTAATCAGCCCTCAGAAATCAGCCTTGTTTTGTGTTTGACCTCCTCTGACTATCAAAAGGCTACTGGGATGCTAAAATAGGGTCACAGCCTTCTCTACCTGATCCCATCTTCTGTTCTTAGAGAAGAGGGGAAAGGATGCCCATGAACACCCCAACATAGTGGATGAAGTATTCTCAACCACATAAACATTGTATTTTTATATTATGTGGAATATTATATGTCTTAATCTCAAAATACAAATTGTCTGAAAACCTGGAATTTAAATGCTTTTCCTCTCCTCATATTCTGAAATACATAGGATAACAAATTTCTGTTTCCCAAAGAAGTAACATTCTGAGAGGCCTCTACAAAAAAAAAAAAAAAAGTTATATACAAGTAATTATTGTGCAAATAAAAACATTTCAAACAGATATCATTAAATACCTTAAAATAAGTTTCTTCTATCCTCTAAACAACTGTCAGTATTTCAAATTGACCCAAACTGCATTTGTCACAAAATCTGCAAATTAGCTTAAAAAAAAAAAAAGTGGTAACTTATTTTCTAATTTGCATGAAGGGCAGAGGGGAATGCATGTAATAATGACCTTTTTGAGAATTCTTTCAGTGCTAAGAGATTACTTGTGCAGACATCTCCCCTTTGATAATTCATGACCTGCTTGCTAGGAGGGAATCCTGTTCTATTAACCCATAACAATTCAAATTTTCACTTAGCTTTGACCTCTCAGGAAGTCATTCTCCTACATAACCCACTTTTTTTCCCCCTCCCACTGTCTGGTACATTGCTGCTTTATCAAATATTTGAGAGCCCAATATCTCTCCCTCTTTTCAGTTCCTCTGACCATTAGGAAGAGAACCCAGAAAGGGAGCAGCTCCAGGTCCCTACAGTACAATTAGAATTTTCCTCCTCTCTGCCTCTGTGCCCTACAAATTCTCGAGGAAGTGTTCTGATGAACCAAAATACCTTCACAGAAACACCTGTACACATAAACTGACAGACCCCATCCATTTATGATAACTGCAGAGTATGTTTCATTGAAAGCTGCTAACAGGTATGGTGGCTGAACTTCCATAAGCAATCTTAAGCCCTCCTCTCCACACACACACACACACACACACACACAAAATCGCCTTTGACTTAGGTACACCTATTTCATCATACTCAGTGGAAAGAAACAAGCACACTGAAATAGTCTATTCTATTCTACCACAATATGCAAACAGCAAGAGCATAGAGCATAGGTTTATTAGACAAATCATCTGCCTATAAATTTGGGAGTTGGGGTGTTACTGTTTTGTTTTTTTTTAATAGTCTTACATTCTTACAAATTACATTTTTCCAAAAATACTGCAAGGATGCCTGTTAGTTTTAAGATAACATCTGACCTTCTTTTGATCATTCTACACAGTAACAGTAACATTTACAGTAGCAAACTCCTGGAAAATCAGCATCACATCTGGAAGCCAACAGGTTAACAGTGTAAAAACTTTCCTACTGCTCCTGCATTTCCCATTTTCTGTATTCCCTCCCCCAGTAAGACCAGAATAGCACTGTAGCATTTCAGACTGGATCCAAGAAGTGCCACAAAGAGTAACTCCAGTACTGTAGGGTTTTGGTTTAAGATAGACGAGTTCACAACACAACTGCATACAGAGTTAGGGCAGCACCTCATTCACCGGAAAGAGCTGTAATGTCACAAACTCATGTAACTACTGAAGATTTTTGTATTGCTAAACCACTGCCTGAGAGAGCTAACTGCAGTATAGACATCTGAAACAGCAAGAGACCAATCTGAGTATGATTTTTTTCTTTACAGTTGATCAGGCCTAACTAACCTCCCACAGGAATACTTTTGGTGCATATTGTTGATTTAAGTTCACCCCTGGTACAATGGAGACTGAACAGATGTGTAAACCCCAATACCTGAGCAGCAAGAGAGAAGCCTCATCACTAGAGGCTCCAATTCTAAACACAGTACTGCATAAGCATTGCTTAGTAAGAAAAGGATGCACTTCCAAGGTACCCATTGAAGAAGAAGCATCTAAATAATGAAGTAAAACTCCAACTGCATACATTATGCAAGATGCTAATAGTTTCACTTACTTACAAAGACGTGGAAGCTGTACTTCACTTTCTAAATCATACACCAACTGCTTGTAATTAAAGTCCACTCTGATACTGCACTATTGTCCCAGAGAACTAAAATGTCCAAATGGACCCTAGCAGTATCATTCTCTCACTTGCAAGACAATTACATTCCTTTCAGCAGGGAAACACTGAACTCCAGTTCAAGAACTCCAACCCACAATACATTCCCTAATATTCTTTTTGTATTTATTTGAACTGTAAGAACAATTGATGGGTATGTCAATATTGTATGAAGTGCTGTACACATGGGAAAAGTAACTGCATCTTGAAAGAGTTTACAAGCTAAATAGAAGATTGTGAACAATAGGAAGCCAAACAGCAGATACCAGTCAACGGGTATTCATGCAGATTCAGTGGTCAAATCAACAGGAACATTTTGTAGTAATGACTGCAGAGGAGAGTTTTAAGCACTGGGGACAAAGATAGAGATAGATTTACAGGTATTTCGGTAGCACTCTATAAGCAAGGAAAGTGCAGGAAAAAGTGACGGTGTTCCTTGGAAAAAAAAGGAAAACATTGCCTAGCTGATATATACCCACCACACTGAAACACCACAGGGCACCATACCTGATACCACTTGCCTTAGCTCAGGGGTAAGGCTAACCAGGTCTGAAATGGTCATGCAGCAAGAAAAAGCCTGATGACGGTCTCTCAGAAACAACACAAATGCAAACCAAGGAAAAGAGCATTTTTTTTTTGTCCAACCAGACTTGCAGTGTTATTTTACATAGCTTTTCTAAAAGAAAAGATTGTTTCCCCTCTGAAATGGTTCTTTCAGAAGTGCAAGTTAGCAAAACTGTAAAACCTGTGAAGAGAGATACCACTGACAGAAATAAATATCAAATATTCAAACTGATTCTTAATTTCTGTTCACACATGCTTTATTAACGCAGTTACTAATGACTTTAAAGATTAATTCATTCAAGTGACTCCAGCAGGCAGCTTCGCAGTTCATTCCTGGTTCCTACCATTAATTTATAACACGACGAAACGGCGAGGTGCTTTCTTGCCCCACTTTTCCATCCTGGTAAACCAAGAACATCATTCACCTACCTCGCGATAGCAACTGAATCTTCTAGAGCGTTTGAAATCCACAGAACAAAGATGCGGGATTAACACATGCGTTACCACCACCGCCGCCGCGACGGCCCTCGCCAGCCCGCCCAGACCCTCCCTCGGCAGCAGAGAGCTCGTGTTTCCACACCCGAGACGTCCCTCCTCTGCCCGCCGCGGTGCCCGCCGTGACAGGCCGGGGTAAGCGGGCGGGGAGGGGGAGTGTGCACAGCTGAAGCCGCCCCGCAGCGCCCACCACCCCCCAGCTCTTGGAGCCCACCCCGCCCTCACATCCCCCCGAGGGGGCGGCTCCCGACTCACCGATCCCGGGGGCCACATAGATGAAGTAGAGGCAGGAAGAGGAAAAGGAGAAGAAGAAGATGAAGGCGAGCATGGAGCGATTGGAAACCCGCAGCACCTTCCGGAAAAGTGGCATCCTTTCTCCGCGCCGGCGGCCGGCCGCTCCGCTCAATCCTAGAGTGCCGCGGCGGGGCTTCCCAGAGGGAAGCGGCCCGCTCCTCCCATGAATCGGGTAGCAAGAAGGCGGCGAGGGGACTCTGCTCGGCCCCTTCCTCCTTCCCTCAACTCCCGCCGCCTCCCCGGGAGCGGAGGAGAAGCGGCGGCAGCGCTATGTAGCTGGCCCCCTCACGGCCGGCCGGCCGGAGGGGCCCTGCCTTCCTTTGCGCGGCTCCTCTGGGCGGGCTGAGCCTGCCGCCGCGGCTCGCAGGTGGCGGCCGGAGCGGGGAGGGGCCCCTAGAACTGCCGCGGGGCTCGCGGAATGTTCCCGCCGCCGCTCATGCCGCCGGCCGCCCGCTCTCCCGCCTGGTGCCCCCTCACAAGCGGCGGCTGCGGTGGTGGCAGCGGCGGCAGCATCCCCGCTACCGGCAGGCAGTCACCTCGGGACCCGGCCCGGCCCGGCCCAGCCCAGCCCCGCCGCTCCCACCTCTCCTCCCGCACCGGCGGGGAGCGCGCGCTGCAGCCGCGCGGCACGGCCCTAACCCGGCCCCGCCCCGCCGAGACCCGGCTACTGCGGCGGTTGGAGCGTGCGCGAGCCCCGGCGCAGCGGCGGCAGCGGCACTGCAGGACTGCGGCGGGCGCGCGCCCCGCCGGCGAAGACTTGAGGCGGGAGGGGCGGGGGACCGCCGACGGTTGTGCCGCCGCTATACTGCAGCGGCGGCGCGCGCGCAGCCCTGGGCTCAGCACCAATGGGAGGACAGGGAGAAGCGAGCCCGCTGTCCCGATTGGCTGGTGCGGGGAGGAGTGGGGTCGCCAGGCTGCTCTCCCTGCGTGGTTGGGGTCTCCGCTGCCGTCATGTGGGGGTGCAGCGGGAAGAGCGGTAGGGACTGTGGAGGGGAGAGCGCTCCTCGTCAGGTCTCGCTTTGCGGGCGCTCCCGTTGGGCGGGGGATTTCTTTTCCGCGCCCCTCCACCTCGGCGGGGATCGGCCGGGTCCCGCGGGAGGAAACACCGCCGTGCCCCTCAGGAACTCGGCCCGCTTCCCAGCGGCGGTGCTGTACCCCCGCTCTTTGCCCCTGCACCGTCGGTACTGCCTCTCCGCCAAGTGCAGCTGCAGGCGGACGTCGTCACACTTCAGCTGCTGTTAGCGCAGAGGGGTTTGAACGGGAGTCAGGGCTAGCAGACCCACCAGTTCTCCACAGAGCAGATCAGAAATCATTTCCTGAACATCTGGCTACACTTGTGCTGAGTTCATATGTGATAACTTACACCCTCCATTAGCAGTTTGCTCTCACACCCACCGCGTGATAAAGGTGTTTTTTAAAAGTCGGTAATGTGCCACATCAAGTCGCTCTTCATCTTTTCTTGCTTTAGCAGCTAACCTTGGCCACCGCAAGTTGCTAGGTGATAAGGTCAAGCCACTAATCTCTCCACTCGTCTGCAGAACGCTGTCACTGATGGGAAGATGTGTGCCGGGGGGTTGGCAGCAGGCCAGGATATGCCTGAGCGCACCTGAGATGGCAGCAGGATCTGGTTGTGTAAGAATCCAGGTCTCTATTGTTAATGTGTGTTTATACAGACATAAGGTAAAAAGAATGGAGATACAGAAGTGCTCTCCCCCCCCTGACTCCCCCCCTCCAAATACAATTTTGTCTCAGTCACTATACTTGCACAAGTGCTTTTTATGCAAGAAACATTACTGATAACTCCATATGTTTTTTCAGTAACAACTGAGGCAAATTATTTTGTTCAACCAGCACAGCTCATGGTTTGTTCAACCAGCACAGCTCATGGTCAAGTAGAGTTTATCCTTTAGGCTCAGGGGATGACCTTATCACTTCTTTTCCTTCAGTCACAGGGTAACAAAGACTCTGCAGGATTCCATACCAGTATTTTTGCAGCATAAATGTAGAAAGCCTAAGTCAGTTGACATGTAAACATCAGATCTAGAAATACAAAATTATTGGTTAATCAAGTGAAGCACTGATGCAAGTTAAGTGATAGTAACAACAAAACCACATGTTTACCAAAAGGACCTTAAACGGTCAAAAAGAGGTTACTCTATCCTCCAATCATGCTAGATGTTGAACAGAAACATTTCTATGTACAGCAGAATACAGCACACACAGTAACAATCTGTAGCCACATCACATTATTTCCTGATTGTTCACTTTGATGCAAAGCATAGACATAAGAATTTCTCAGTAAGGGTTTCCATAAGAGAGAGAGAAATTCTGCTCCTTCAGCTCTGAAGCAGAGATTTGAGAATAATATTTTGATGGATGTTATTGCAGTGGGTATCAGAGAGATGGATAGACTGAGTGATGCTTTTTGTCACTAAATTGTTTTTGAATTGCCAGCAGCGGCTATGTAACTTGATGTATGTCATTTGTTTTATTGAGCAGAGTGTAAAGCAGGCTATAAAAGTACAACACTGAACTAATATATGCATATATGGTTTAAATTTAAAGCTTCAGCTGACTGTAGTACAGAGGGTCTTTATGGACATGAACTTGGGTTTATGAAGCAAAAATTTACTGTATCTTTATGTTATGTTACTACCTCACATTAAGGTAGAATTTATTTTACATGTGATGCAGTGTAACTACTGCTTTATTTTTACATATTAAAGCTATAGATTTACTGTATTAACTAATACCTGAGTAGCAATTGACACATGCCTCTCTGGTATTCCACTTTTATTAGTGGTTTTCTTATTGTACTAAAATAATTGTTCCTATGCTGTAAAAATAGAGAAGTACAGTAGAAGATCAATACAATGACAACCTGCAGAATCTTGTCTGATCTAAGATCCATGGTACATGAAGTCTTAAAACTGGCCATAACTTTTGTGTGGAGGAGCATTAAGTACTGCCATACACATCACTGTCTCTGCGTAACTAAAAGCAAGTTCCATGCCTTCAGCTCAAACAGTATTAATTTGGTTTTAATTCCTTGGAATGTTAGGTACACTTGTAAGACTCTAAGTGCTACTGTGATGAGCGTGAGAAAACCTGTGGAATAATATCTTAACTTTAATATACAGAGGCATTTGTGGAAAAATCAAAATGGAGTTTCAGAAGATAGATGTGTCATGTTTAATTGATTCTCCAGCAGCAGGACGCTGCAGGAGCAGCAGCATGACTCACACACACCGTTGTGACAGGAGACTCGGCCCCAGTATCTGCTCTGAAGAGAATGCTTGAAACATCCTCCATCTTCTTTAAATATTACTTTCTTCAGTAAAAAGATTACTGCACAATATGTAGATCACTCCTCTGAATAATTCATAATATTGCAATTTACTTATAATTGTAAGAAAAGGAAATTCCATCAAATATACATTGCACTTTGCTGTATTTCATCCTGCAATGGATTTTATGCAGAAAATTTATAAACAATTGTAGCTTAACGTGGAAGAATTTGGTAGTTCAAAAAACTCTCCTTCCTCATTCCTGTTCTCAGTCTAACCATCCAAAAGTGTGTTTTTTGTGGATCAGCAAACACGAAATCCAGTAAGATCTTACCAGAGCAACAAATGTAAAACCATCAATGTCTCCAAAGCTGCAATAATCAACACGTTTGTCAGTTGTTCCAAAAGGTCATATATTTCATCATGTCCAATGAATAGTGCCATAGAAAGTATGTGAATGAAATTAAACTAACATGCTTCCCATGTTGGATGGGCCCAACTGTGCATGACTACGCTATGTTAACAAAATCTGACTGGTTGGAGAAAATTAATAGCACTTTTTTTGATAGGTCTGGTGGCTCCATCAGGGTGACTTCTGGAATCCGTTTGAAAGAGTGACACTCCAAACCACTGTGGTTTTATAATTGTGGACATACGGTTCTGTGAGACAATGGGCAGGAAGGAATGCTGAAAGACCTTGAGCGAAGCAAAAGTATCTTACACTGCTATAGTCACCAAGTATAGAATCTGAGCCTGACACAAGCAGCACTGAAACTGGGTCAGAGTTTCTACTACCCAAGGAAGTAGAAGGTGGTATTCTGCTTAAACCATTAGTTAGAGCTGGAAGTTAAAACAATACATGTATGAATGTGCTGCTCATACAACATCCAGTTTTACAGTCTGCAATGCTAATTCAAAATCTCACATTTTGTTCTCTAGGTCCTTTACTGCTGCTTGTTTATGTTATTTCTTATTGCTCATACCCAGTCTTTGAATCAGGTATAATAAACTATTGTTTAACTAGCTGTTCTTTCTCTTCCATGAAATCATAGAATCATAGAATAGTTAGGGTTGGAAAGGACCTTAAGATCATGAAGTTCCAACCCCCCTGCCATGGGCAGGGACACCTCGCCCTAAACCATATTACCCAAGGCCTCCTCCAACCTAGCCTTGAACACTGCCAGGGATGAAGCATTCACAACCTCCCTGGACAACCTATTCCAGTGCCTCACTACCCTAACAGGAAAGAATTTCCTCCTTATATCCAATCTAAACTTCCCCTGTTTAAGTTTTAACCCGTTACCCCTTGTCCTACCACTACAGTCCCTAATGAAGAGTCCACCCCCAGCATCCCTGTATGCCCCCTTCAGATACTGGAAGGCTGCTATGAGGTCTCCACAGAGCCTCCTCTTCTCCAGGCTGAACAGCCCCAACTTTGATCTATCTTGAGTCTGCCTTTGCTCCAGTTAATACTCATTAAGCAATGTACACATTGCTAAGTTTTACCTGGCTGCCTCTCTGTTCTGTATTGTTCAGGTAGAAAGAGTGCATGCTTCTGTCACAACTTTTCTTATTTATCTGTTTAAAACCATTTTTACCAACAATGAAGTACCACATAAATCTTGCAACTTTTGAATTGTCTTTGTTTCTTCAAGTTTAATCATTAACACCAACATCATTTTGTCTCCCTTACACCCTACCTTTAAATTTCAATGCAGTCGTGTTTATTTGCTCTTGTTGCTGAATGTCCCTTTGTCTTTGCTTTCAGCTAAGACAGTCCAACTGCCTTGTTTAGGCTGTAGTTAATAGCCCCAGCAATCAAAAGGATTTTTTCACGCTCTTTTTGCAAGAGCTCTCTCCTACTCACACTGCCTATTCCCCAAACAAGCCTGGTGAATTGTAGCCAACCCACAAACCTACCTTGGTTCCAAGCAACCCCCTGAGCCACAGG